GATCTGGTCAGCGTTGGAGAAATGCTATTTATGCAAAGCTTGCTTCAAACCAGGAGGAAGAGCTTGGACAGCTTCACAATCACCAAGTTTCTGAGCTAGCTGATGTTAAATGGCAGTTGAGGGCTCTGCAAGCCACAAAAAGAGCATTGGCTGCAGCCCCTGCAAGGATTGTACTACGTCATCATGGTGGTGGTGCTGGCGGTAGTGTTGTTAGTGGGCTTGGTAGCGGTGGTGTTACAGGGACTGGTAGGGGGAGACACAGAGGTGCTACTGCAACAGTAATAGAGGCTGATGCTCCTATTGGTACCTCTCACCCTAGTCCTCCTGTTACGCTTGCACCTAATCTTAAGTTTGTCCCTCTTCTGTGGGATGAATGGTGTAATGGGATTGGCGGAAGGAAGCCAGCAAGGGATTTTACTACTGCTGAAAGAGGCAGATGCAGGGACAAATACAGCAAGCGATTGATTATTTGGAAGTGTATGAAGAGGCTTACTGAGAGAGGGTACACAGTGACTTCTGCAGTTAGAAGGATCCATGAGGTGTATGGATATCTACCTGTCASTAAGCTGATTGAAAAGATGAGGAAGGATGAAAGGAATGGGGGACATGCTAGACTGAGGAGCTAGTAATCAATCGGAGCAATCGATTTGTTGCTGCTGGATCTGTTGCTGCGATTTGTATTAGTAAGCAAGCAATAAGCAAGGGAGCAATACGAGCCGCTGATATGAGCCGCTGATACGGAGGACGCTTGCTGATACGGAGGACGCTGATACAGGCCGCTGATACAAGCCGCTGATACGGACGACGCTGATACGGAGATGCTGATACGAGCCGCTGATGCAGAGGATGCTGGCGATACGGAGGATGCTGATACGGACGCTGATACGTAGGATGCTGATATGTATGGAAGCAATCGATCCGTATGGAAGCAAGGGAGCAATCGATTCGGAGCAATCGATCCGTAGTATTTTCAATCGATTCGGAGCAATCGGTTCGTATGAAGCAAGCAAGCAACAAGCAAGGAAGCAATCGATTCGGAGCAGCAATCGATTCGTTGCTGTGTTATTCGTGTTATTCCGTGTTATTCGACCGTGTTATTTGACCGTGTTATTCGACCGTGTTATTCGACTGTGTTATTCCGTGTTATTCGTGGCGGTGTTACGTGTGGTGCTATCCTGCATAAAAGAGCAATGTTAGATAGCTGTTAAGAAATAGTARKRAGCAGTATTCCTATTAACACAGTTAGCAACACCCCCAGTACCAGTAGTATTGGGCCTGAGGTCCTTGTAGGAATCAGTAGTAAGGAGTCCGTGTGGAGGTGTTTATTTCCAGCAGTAAGCAGTACTCATAAAATTACAGGTTTTTTGTTGTACCTTCATTCCCCAGTAGTTAGCACTCTTACGAGTACTTGGAAGTACTTGGTTAACTCGTGTACTTCAAAATTTCACCAAGTTTTTGGATATTTCCGCTCCACTAGTAAGGATCCCTCTTATAAATACTTGTGTTTTAGCGAGTTGGCGATAATTTGTGTGTGTGTAGAATCCTACGGACTTTGTACTGTGTATTTATTATTGTATATTTTGTTACATGTACCCACACGGTGTTCGATTTTCTGCTACCGGTATAGCCCTAATCGTGCATTAATCATGGAATTGACTAAATCGACTCAAGGATGTGGCTCGCTTTCAAACCGTTAGAAAAAGTATTTTTGAATTAATTTGAAACAGATCGCAACAAAATACTGTATCATCATCCAATCCGCAACATTTCTATTACTGTAACGTTTTGTTTCTGTTTCTCTTGCTTGATGATGGTTCCACCGTGGACTAGCCATCATTCCTTTTCAGCAAAGAAGTGGTCCAAGTAAGGAGCAGTACAATAACTGCAACAATTGACAAGGAACAATTGTTACATTGAATCTTTAAGACGACGATAAAAATTGGTCGATACTATGCATCGAATTCCTTCTTGGATGCCGATATGTTTGGCGCTCGCCGCTTTTTTGGCATTCGAAGCTCCTCCCTTTGCTAATGACCGAATACTGTATCGAACAAATAGACAGGATCGTTTTGATGACTCTCCGAGCGGCAAAAGTCTTAGATCTTTGATGGATGAGAAGGTTCGAAGCAACAGTAGAAAGAACGACCATAACATCGTTGCGGAAATCGTCGATAGCAATTTCGAAGCCGAAGGAAAGAAGAAAGCAGTGGTGACTGACAAAAGCGAAGGCAATACAGATGAAAGTGAGACTCGATATAATAGTTCCGACCTAGAGAAACAACGAAAGAAATACCGGAGGACGGATATACTCGTGGTATGTTTCTTTTTTGTGGCGGGCATCTGGTTGATTTTGGCTACCATTTATTCCATAATCTTACTAGTTTTATTGAGATTGCAAGCTCGCGGCGAATTAGATATATACGATGAGAATCTTGGACGGGTAGTACTATGCAACGGTCGACTAGCTCTGCATTTCGGCTGCATCTTGAGGCGGTATGCCGTTCAACTCGAAGAAGTGAGTTTTTTGGGGATTTTCTTCACGGTTTTCACAACATTTTCTCACGCTCTAAATATGATACCCTCTTGTCTATCGAAAATACATAGGATTACCAGCGGCAATTACATCAGCATTTTGAAGACCCGGACGCCGAAAATCAAGATAACGAATTACAACGGATTAGAATTATGAGTAGGCAGGAACGACGAAAAGCTGTGGAAGAACTCCTTGGCAGCTCCGAGAAACAAGTTGACATTGAATGTGGCAATGCAGATAAGAACACGCTAATCAAACCAGAATGTGATTGTAAAAGCATTGGAAATGCAGTTGATACCCCAAAGAAGTCAGGTACTCCATCGCCTCTAGATACATCTTTTGCTAGTTCAGATGAAGGGCCCGTCTGTTCGATCTGTCTTGCAGAGTATAAATCAACCGATTCTATTTTTCGATCTAAGTCGTGCCCTCACATGTTTCATGGAGAGTGCTTGCTGTCATGGTTAGAAAGAAGAAACAACACTGTAAGTGGATATCGTTCGTGCAATCATTAGCAGTGCCAACTATTATTCGACCGAACGTCAAACCTTTCCTGACTCAAATCTCCCCCTTCCCATTTCATTTTCATACTCTTTCAGGAGTGCCCCATCTGTAGAGTAACTTTGGTATCGGATGACGATATATGGGAAGTTGTCCAACGGATGAGAAAGGAACGACGAAAAGAGTTGCTGAAAGAAAATGGAATGGTTTATCGCTTGGTCGGTTGGATCAAATCAATCAGGGGGGGCAACCAACAACCATCTCAGGAAAACGATCGTCTAGGTAGTTTTACATCGTCGAGTAGTGGGAGCGATGATGGAAACACAATGGGTGGTGAAACGTCGTCGTTGACAATAGGCGTGGATGCTTCAGTTGACCTGAATGATGGTGACAATGTTGCAGAAAATGAGAACTAAGAATCAAGAACAATAGATTGCGGTTCAAATAATCGTGCGGCCGAAGGAGCTTGCGACACTACTGACCCGAAGAGACCAAAAAGCTGCCCTACGGAACGACTAATTTTACGGTTCGTTGTTCACATGGAATACATAATCACCACGGTTACCATGATCGCTACCAAAGTACTGCCGTTTTGTTACTTATGTTGTTCAGACAAAAGCATTGTAGGACGTGGAACATATGAAAATATGTTGGGGTTGCGATACTAGTAGCATAATTATTATAACAAAGGGGGTTAACAAGTGTCTTAAGCAACAAGTCAGAAAGTTTATTCGGAATCCTCGGCCTCGAGTTCCGCGACCTTGGCTGCCTTCTTGGCGGCTACTGCAGCCTTGCGCTCGTCGTACGTAAGCTTGGCGGGTCGCTTGAAGGACTTGTCGGGGCTGAAGTCCTTCTTCTCCGATGGGGAAGGATCCTCACGGATCGCCTCGTGGACGGACTCGTAGAGTTCTTCGAGGCTGTCACCCTCAACGTCGGCCTCGATGTACTTGGCAAAGTGTTCCTTGTACTTTTGGTTATCTTCCTCCTCGAGGTATTCCATGTACTCGCTGACGTGACCTCCAAAGATACGTTCTCGGTGCATGTCGGAATCGTATTCCTTAGCGTCGCGGTCGTATCCAGGGAATCGCTTCTCGGAGTGGGGAACATCCAAGCCACCATCAGCGGCTCCCTTGAGAGCTCCAAAGAGACGGTGACCAGTGGTGGTGGGCTTGCAACCGACATCCAACAACGCGCGGAAGGGGCGCTTGTCATCATCAACTTCCTCGACAAAGTAGGTCTTCTTGTCGTACTCGGTCGAAACGACCTCGCCGTCTACCTCGGTGTTTCCCTCGTAGATCTCATCGAGTCCGACCTTTTGGAGCAGACGACGGGCACAGAGAAGACCGGTGCAGTATGCGGCGGCGTAGTTCTTCAAACCAACGGTGAGTCCGTACCGGCCGAGCTCGGTGGACTGGGCCTGGCAGAGAATGCGATCACCATCGACGAGAGCGTAAGCGATTTGGCAGATCACCTTGGTGTTGGTGAATCGAACGACAAGTCGGTACTTGGGGGACTGGTACTTGTTCTTGTCCTGGGCACACAATCGCTTTCGTGCACGATAGTCGGTCTTACCCTCGCGTCGACGTCGGAACTTGACCTGGTACCGAGAAAAGTAAGCCTTCGTGCGTCCCTCTTGAATGAAAGTCTGGAGAATAAGCGGCACAAGAGATGAGACAATAAAGAAAAGAATCTGGCGTCAAGCCGTCGGTTTGTCATGTTGCCATTCATAGGGCATCCTATCTTTCGCTAATCTTCTATCGATACTCACCATGGTGATGGTTTGGATAATTCAAAGATGGATAATGAGCTGCTTTCTACTACCAAGGGTAACGAAAGCGATGAAACCGCTGTGTCTCTCTTCTACTGTCCGTCGCTGCGAGGACGATATTATCGACCACGGATTATTTTGAGTAAGCGGTAAAAGAAAGCATAACATTACGTGTAGGCTTTGATACTATCTTCATTTTATACTAAAATATGATAATACTGTAATAACCATACGAGTACGTACCATACAAATGTGATGAAGAACGAAATCCATTCCCGCATCCCCGACTATCTGTCCAACCAACGATTGGGTACTACGTACAGTAATTAACTAATCGTACGGTAGGATTACTCCTATGCGCTCTTTTACGGCGTACCGGTAACACTTACTCGTACTAGTACGTACCCTACTCTTTAAAAACTGCGATTTTTTTGTGAGAGGAGTTCGTGCATTACAAAAAGACTCCCGAACTCGACATTTATGACGCACCGTCACAACCGGGATCAGAGTACACAACGCCGCCGTTACTTGCAAACAAACAAGCAAGCAAAATACGACAGCAATGGCAGAACAATTTTTCCAAAAAGTCGCCGACGATGTCGATGCGGCCGCGGAACAATTGTGGTCGATTTTTGGGGCGGGCAGCGCTGAACAAGAGGACAAGGCAGATGCCACGGGTGGCCCCGGTGCCGACTCGGGGAGTTTTGCCCACCAGTTTGATTTTTCGGACACGGACATTGACGGATTGTCGGACGAGGAGATTCAGAGGCTTCTGGGAGAGGAAATGATGCGGAACAATCCGCTGCAAGACATTGCAAACGACGTCACACAAAACATCGTGGCGGGGCAGGTAAGGAATACGAAACGAAAGTCGCAGGACGGAGGGAAACGATCACTGGAAGGCGAGGTGACAATGAGAGGAATTATTCTGCAGCAGAAACACGAACGGAATCGTAGCCCTCGCTTAAAATCTGGACTGCATCTATCAAATGATCGATGTTGCTGACTATTGGTGATTTTCTTTTCTGGCTCGGACGCACGGTACCTTTTTCGTCCAGGCCCAACCGCAATCCGCAAGAGAACACTTTGACGCCTTTCGATCGGCAATCAACTGGTCGGAGAAATTTGTCATCGGTTTAGTGTGTTTTCAGATCGTAATGTTCCTTCTGTGCCTTTACTTTTCGAAAAAAGATCGGGGGTTGGCTCCACGGATTTCCCTCTTGGTCTTCATTGGCATCGTGGTGCGTGCGGCGGAATGGCTGAATTCAATCGGCGCAGATCATTGGGAATCCTTTGCCACCCAGGATTATTTTGATAAGAAAGGCATCTTCGTTGGAATCATGCTGTGCGCCCCTCTTCTTCTGGATTCACTGATGATGCTGCTCTTCTTCATGAAGGAAGCTTCGACGTTGCTCGTCCAGGTCAAACGAAACGAAATCAAACAAAAGCAGAAAAAGAAGAGCAAGAGCGATGACGGCAAGAAGGAAAAAGTCGGGGGCAGAACGAAAACAAAAAAGCAGGACTAGTGGATACTGTACTACGAGTTCTCGTGCAAACTTAGAGCTACCGCATCTATCCTGTACAAGACTTTATTCGGAAGCACGGTGTGGTACTCCTATGTGCGATATGTGCATTGCCAAAACCAATTCAAAAGTCGAGCCCAAACGACGTGACCGATGAAAGGTGGTCAGAAGAAGGAGGGTGGCAAAAAAAGTTGGTGAAGGATTAAAGACCGAGAGGATTACGCCTTACAAGGGCGTTCCGTGAACGAACTTTGTACAACTTCAACAAAGCTCACACAACTCGATTCGTGGTCCGAAAAACCTGAATTGTAAAAGAGTGATTCGTTTTCCCACAATTCCTCATTAGCGCTTTCGTATAACAGCTTTTCTAACTATTTTACAATTCTACATCTCCGTACTGGAACTGCCTACCGCACTGGCGATAAGCCCCTTCTCGCTGTTGTCCATCCCGTTGTTGTTATTCATATTGTTGTCTGTTCCGTTCCTGTTGTTACTTGCGCCATTGTTCCCGGACATCGGAGTTGGATTGAAATTTCCCGAAGTACCTTGGGACAACATCGATAGCAGGTAGTCATTCCCACCTTGCGATTCAGCACTGAGACCACGAGAAAGTGTGGAAAGTCCACGTGAAAGCGCCGAAAAATTCCGTATGTCCATACGACCGTTCATAGGACCAAGTGCCATACTGGGAGACCCGCCAAAGTTTTGTGTCGGAAGCTGTTTTTGTTTTGGATGGGGAGGCAGAGTGGGCCCGCCCGAAATAGCACCAGGGGTGCCTGGGACGCCATTTTTCATACCTATGGAGACCTGGTTGCCCATCAAGTGTGCTAGACTCGAAAGAGTGCCAACGGAAGCACCGCGCGATCCATACGGTAAGGGATCTAACGACTCGCCTATCCCATGCTTCAAAGGCCCCCCTGTAACATTCATACCATTCATATTGAAATGATTTTGTGCGGTCTGATGAACATCGGCTGACATCTGAGCCCCTCCTCCAATGCCATTGTTGCCGGGAACTCTAAGGTTGTGGTAATGTGCGTGTTGGTTCTGTTGGCCCTGTTGGCTCTGTTGGTGCTGTTGCTGCATTAGCAACACCGTTTGGTCTATACGGTTCAGGAAATCCAATTCTAAGCTCTTCAAACGATTTTCAGTTTGAGAGCTCAGGCCCTGGATTGTCTTTTCCAAGCTTGCGACCTTTTCCTTTAATTGCTGGATTTCTCTTTGCACATCCTGGCCAGAAATGTTGCCACCTCCGCGCGTTGATCGTTGGATCTTTTTCAGAAGATCATGACGACCGCGCTTGAAGTTTTCGTTGTAAAATGTAACGTGTTTGGCCGTGTTGGCGTCGAAATCGCTGTTGCGGATTGGTTTTGATTGCATTTTGCGAAACCCATAGAAATTGAGTTGTCGAGCAAAACTCGAGAATTTGTTGTGGTCAAAATATTGCGGGATGATCTGCGAAGCAAATTGGTCGGGATCTTTGACAACAAACATATCTCCGTCGTTAGTCCTGAGAAGAATCGGAATTCCAACACGACAAATTCGTGAAATAAAGTATTGTTCATCAGTTGAAATAATCAGGAAGAGAATAATTGGAGCAAGAATATTGTGAGACTGTTTTAGTGAGCTTGAAACGAAAAATCCCCTTTTTCATCCCCCGCTTTTCTCTTGTTCGCAGTTCGCATTCTTCTTTTTTCCGAAAAATGTCTTCATTACAGCTCATCGGGTAAACACTGGCATCCATGAGCTTCTGGGAACAACCAGGATCACTGAAGAACCTTTAAAAACAATCCATACAGACTTGCAACTGATTTTGATCGCATTGAAACGATTAGTACGAATACTGTTGGAATCGTGACTATGTTCGAACGGTTGTTACCAGTACATAACGATACGGTAGTTCCAGTTTTACAATGAGGAAAAAGCGTCGAAGTAGAGGATTTTCTCGTTCCTACCGTACCGTCCTGTCTTCACCGACGTCAAGATTGGTCGATGAGAAAAATTGTTACGTACCATGCTGCGATTTCTGGAGGACTTGATTCTATCATTTTATATGTTTCTGTCATCAACGTTTGTAAAGCAAGGAAGGAAACGGCAGTACACCGCAAGACAAAGTTTAGATCAACAGAGATCCAGATGAAACGGTGTGTCGATTTCGACGACAAAAACGAAAAGACGAGAACCCATAGAATCTATTGATTGAATCCAACTCACTTTTCAAGAATATCGGGATTGTTGTAGAACCTTTGCACTTTGATGTTTGAACTATTTTTTCGTCGTCAATACCGGACGATAATGCGCTTGCCGACGCGCCTTCCTTGGGAGCATTGTTGCTTAGTGTAGAGACGTTTCCCCCGCTTCTCATTCTTCTCCTTTTTGGACCAACCATTCCTGAAAAGTCTACTATTGGTGGTGGGTTCATGTCCGTTGCGATGGGTCGCTGATCAGCGCTATTTGGGAGTTGCTGCTTGTTGAAAGAGGATTTTTAGTTTTCCCTTCCTCTTCGCGACCAGCGTGTCGTCTTCATGTAAGACGAAATAAGCAGTAAAAAATGAGGAAATCCCTTGGACAAATTCATCGATTTTTGCCACACAATTTTAAGGATCAATGAACACGAAAGAAACCGGATTGGGGCCCATTCCACTGCTTTGTTAAGAAAGTACAACCGCAGGACGAAATCAATAAACAAATATAAAGGAAAAGCCTTGAATCTGAGCCATAATGTTCGCAACATCAATAAATAGGATAGATCATGATCGTTACACTGAATGTGGCTTGACGAAATATAGTACCATAAGTGGAAAAACTGTACCTCGCGTTTAATACTTGTCTGCAGTAATAACGTGACTTTGTAATGATTTTGAAACGATTCTAAACTTTATTTCAGAAGATAAATCTAATATATGCCTGTTTAGTTTTCACTTATTGCAAACTATTATTTATTGTTCCCGAGAATTGTTCTAAATTGCACACCTGGTAGTAGAGCACTAACGTCCTCGGTTTTTGAATTTTGATTTTGGTACCGTAGTATAATAAAAAATACATAGTACAAAGTGCGTAGGATTCTACACACACAAATTATCGCTAACTCGCTTAAACACAAGTATTTGTAAGATTGAGCTTTTCCTACTGGAGGGAAAATTCAAAAAAAACTTGATAAAAAATTGAGGTAAACGAGTACACACCTTAAACTGCCAAGTCTTCATATGAGTGCTAACTACTTGAAAATTAAGGTAGACCAAACACGAAGAATACTGCTTCTTACTACTGGAAATAAACACCTCCATGGGAACTCATTACTACTGATTCCTACCATCACCTCATGCCCGATACTACTGGTACTGCTGGAGGTGGTGGTGGTGTTGCTAACACCAGTCATGTCAGCGAGCCTCCGTCTATCAGTGACTCGTCCTCTGTATCAGCGAACCACCGTATCAGCATCCTCTGCACGAGATTACGTGTACTCTTAGTATGTTTAAGTGTGTATGCTCTGTGTGCTTACTACTAAAAAAATAAGGTACAACAAAAAACCTGTAATTTTAGTGAGTTGACAGTACTAAGAGTACTGCTTACTACTGGAAATAAACACCTCCACACAAGAAACTCCTTACTACTGATTCCTACAAGCACCTCAGGCCCAATACTACTGGTACTGGGGGTGTTGCTAACTGTGTTAATAGGAATACTGCTTACTATTTCTTAACAGCTATCCAACATTGGTCTCTTATTGAGGATAGCAAGAATATAACACAAAACACGCAACACAACACAAACACCACGAATAACACAGAATAACACAGCAACAAATCAATATCTCCAAATTGCTTGCTTCCTTGGTTGTTGCTTGCTTCATACTACAAATCGATTGCTCTGAATTGATTGCTTCCTTCTTGCTTGCTTCCATACAAATCGATTGCTCCAAATCAATTGCTCTGAATCCAGTAGCAACAACAAGTTGATTGCTTGCTTCATTTATGAATCAATTGCTACAAATCCAGTAGCAATGAATTGATTACTTGCTTCATACTACGAATTGATTTGTAGCAGCGAATCCAGTAGCAACAAATCGATTGCTTGCTTCAAAAAAAAAACTATATATTTTGTTTAGCCTCGTGAACTAGAAGAGGCACTAGGAAGGCCAGAACCATTGCTTTCGTGAGAAAGAATGCTTCTAGCTGCTCCAAGGGGCAGCGCATCCCTCCGAGGAGGTGTTATGGAGGTGTGACCAGGTTGTATGTACTCTGATAGGCCGTTGGAGGCCCAGGACTGGACTCAAAGGACATGTTTAGGTGAAGTATTGGTTCATAGTAGTTTGTATGGTACGGTTGGGTGTGGTAGAGATCAAAGAATTTGTTGGTGACGCAGGGGATTTGTGTCTTCTCTTCTTGGAGTATGCATCAAAGACCAGTCCGTCTTGTGTGACGCTCTCCGGTGGTTGTTTACTATGAGTCAATGGTTGAAAATACTGTGTAATGGGGCGGGTGTTGGAGACCGAAGCATTTWTAGCTTGGGTGACACTTGCCAGAATCGGTTTCTCATAGGCTCAATGATAATAAGATAGCATGGAGGTAGGTGTCTGCGATAAGAATGTTTCCGTGTCGTCAGGAAATAAATGTACATGAGATGGACAGGTTTGTGATTTTAGTGCAAACAAGGTTCGAACTTTCATCACTACACGCTTCCGATACTGTTTTTGTTTCTGTGAAAGCGTATGGCCATGGAGATCCTTATTTCTCTGTTCCCATAAAGATATATAGGAGGTAAGAAAGAACTCCGCGAGGTAACCCCCTAGTACAAGCGGGGAGTAAGAGCCCAAATGGAGATCAAGATCAGTAAACCACTGGAGCAAAATGTGACCAGTAAACATATGGTGCCAACCAATCTCACTCTGAAAATGAATAACAGGATGAAGCGACGTAGGATATTTCTCAGGAGAAACAGTGCCAGTGTCTAACCATTTGGTAAGACATGTAGCAAGAGTATCAATGGTAATTGGTCGGAAACCAAGAGTGGACATGCATTTTCGTAGAGAAGTGATGGATTGTCTCCGCCAGCTGATACGTGTTGGGTGGGAGCAGCGAAAAAGATGTTTGGAGTCTTCGGGCGACTGGCAAAGACAACAGGTATCCTGCGTTGGTAGTTCTACCGTTTAAGAATGGTGGCGGTGGGCAGAATATTGTTGCAACATTTCGTGACCAAGACGTCCCTGGAGATACGATGGATGGCAATGCTCAGAGACTTCCAGGCAATATCAGCAATAACC